AATTGTGTCATTGGTAACCTGGGTCAGGCCAACTATGCGGCGGCGAATACCTTTATGTGTAGTTTGGCCGCTCAACGTCGCAAGCGCGGTCTGGCAGCTACTGCTTTGAACGTGGGTGCTATCATCGGTGCAGGTTACATGGAGCGCGAGTCCAGCAAGGCTCTTGATTTGACGGTGTCCAAGATGGCGCTGATGCACCTGTCAGAGCAAGATTACCACCAGCTCTTCGCGGAGGGTATCGATGCCGGTCGTCCAGATTCAGGCGACGAAGCTGAGCTCACCACCGGCCTTTTGGATATCCCTGCTGCCGACACGGAGAATGCGCCCAAGTGGCACTCGAACCCGGCATTCTTCGACTTTGTCGTTCACAGGGTCGAGAAGAACGGAACTGACACAGGAAATGAGGTCGTTACCTCGGTCCAGGATCAGCTTGCTGCCTGCAAGTCAACCAGCGATGTGCTTGCTGTCGTCAAGGGTAAGTTTCCGCGTGTCGCAATTCCCTGCATTGCATAATAACTGGAGTAGGGAGATTTGCCATGCAACTTCGCAATGTGTTGCAGATGAACACTGCCGACGAGGACCTGATGGCAATGAGAAGCCGTGATATTGGTCTCGACTCTTTAATTTCGGTCGACATCCGTTCGTGGTTCCTGAAGAACTTCGAAGTCAGCGTTCCGGTCTTGAAGATTATGGGCAATGATACCATGGCTGAGCTGGCAGACCTTGTGGCCGCGCAAGTCCCAGCTTCGCTGCTTCCTGGAGTCGGAAAAGAAGATTCCCCATCTGATCTGCCACCTGCCACCAACAATGCTTCCCAGCCTGCTCCGGCTGCTGCACAGAATGATGAGACCAGCTCCTCGCCGGGCTCCAATCAGGATGCCACGTCTACTGAATCCAGCAGTGGCTACACCGGAACTAGCACCCCTACCAGCTTAGAAGCCACCACAGGACCCCTATCGAAGGGACCTATTCGCATCGACTGGAAGGCCGAGATTACATTGCCCCAGGCAGCGAATGTTGACACCAGCTTGGCTCCTGCCGCCCGTCCTCGCACAATCGTGCTCACGGGTGTCAGTGGACTGCTGGGCCGACACCTGCTCCTGCGCTTGCTGCAAGACCCATCCGTCAAGGAAATCATCTGCCTCGCCACCCGCCGTCTTGACGAGCGCCTCCAGTCAAAGGAGCTGGTTGAAGAAAACCGAATTCAGTATTTCGCAGGTGACCTCGAAGACCCCCGCCTCGGTCTCTCCGAGCAGCAAGCGGCTCAGATCTTCAGCCGCGCGGATGCCGTGATCCACAACGGAGCCGATACCTCCCACCTCAAGTTCTACCCCGAGATCAAGGCCGCGAACATGGGCTCAACCAAGGAGCTGATCCGCCTCTGCACGGCTCGCAAGGTGCCCATTCATTACCTGTCTACTGTGGGTGTAGCCCTCTTCGGCAACTACACCTCTTTCCCGGAGGTCTCGGTTGCCGCGCACCCGCCCCCGGCTGACGGCTCGCACGGCTACGTGGCCGCGAAATGGGCCAGCGAGCGTCTGCTGGAGGAGTATAACAAACAGCACGGGGTGAACGTGTGGATCCACCGCCCCTCAACCATCATCCGCGAGGGCGCCGATGCCGAAAGCGCCGCAGCGCAAACCGACTGGATGAACGCCCTGGCTGCGTACATGCGCAAGACCCGCGCTGTGCCCACGCTGAAGAATTTGCGGGGTGCTCTCGATTTTGTCTCGGTGCACAACGCGACGAAGAGTATTCTGACGGCCGTGTTTGAGAACAAGCCCAAGGCTTCCTCTGCGGGGGTCTCGTACTCTCACCAGGTTGGCGATATTGTGATTCCGTTGGATAACTTGAAGGATTTTGTAGTCCAGGAGACGGGCGCTGCTCATGTCGATGTGCTTCCGGTGGAGGAATGGAGTGTTCGTGCGGTGACTGTGGGATTGAACCGGGGAGTGGCGGCGTTGATCGACTCGATGGACGACCCGGGTCAGCCTCACTATCCCCGGATGCTGCGGGGGGAATAGACTGAATGCTGTTTATATCTAGTTTTGTATGATTTAGTATACTGCAAATTGAGATTCTTCTCACGGGTTAACATAGGTAACTTCTGTATTCTGGGCTGTCGGGACCCTTCGTTCCGACCTCCTGTCATTGCCCCTGTAGGCTTTTCAATCACCGTTCCTCCCAGATACTGCGGTTGGGGGTGCTGGTCATCTCTGGCAGGTACTGCTGCTCGAGGCATCCTTTGACAAGGGCCAGCTTTTCATGCGAATATGCGCGAGCGAGATCTAGCGAGATGGTACTGGGCAGGTCCCAGCAGCAAGGATACCAAACTCATCCAGTCTTGACGGGGTTTGAACGGCTTTATGGGATGCCCATGATAATCGCTTCTAATATCTCAACATTTTAGCTTGTCTTGCTAAGGCCATGCCTCACACATCTCAACAAGGTACTTCATCACAGCTGAATGCAATTTCATTCCCGAAATAAGTGATCGAGCTACCATATCGCCGACTACAGACATGAGATCAAGCAGTCAACAATCTAAACCTCAACCTCCCCCTTCCTCCTCCTGACCAGAACCCTAACCCCTGGGTCCGAATCCAAGAAGATCCCATTCTCAATGATCCGGGGCTCCACCTCCCCGGCAATCTTCCACTCGAACTTCATCAACAAATGGCACAGCGCAATCTTAATCTCATTGGCCGCCAGGAACCGTCCCGGGCACGCATGCAGCCCATGCCCAAAGGCAATATGCTCCGACCGGAGGGTGGTCAACTGCCACCGGTTCTCGTTGCCGGGCTGCTCGCGCAGCCGCACGAACCGGAAGGCGTCGAATTTGTCGGCCTCGGGGAAGACGGCCGAGTCCCAGGCGCCGTGGTGCGAGACCCCCAGCATCGTGCCCTTGGGGATGCGGAAACCATCAGCGAGGGTGATGTTCGCGGTGGCTTTGCGGACCATGTTGACTACCGATTCAATTGGGGTCATCAGTGTGCTTGTTGTGCGTGATGGAGTGAGAAAGGTGCGGGGTGTGGAGGGAGGACTCACTCGATAGAGCAGGTTTGATTCGCTGCGCCTCTTTGATCACACTGTCCATGAGTTTGAGGTTGTACAGCGCCGAATGCTTGATCCCTCCACTCCCCATGACGGAGACCACCTCCTCCCGCAGGTGCTGGATCGCCTCCGGGCACCGCAGCAGCTCGTACATGGTCGTCGTAATGAGGTCGGTGGTGGTGTGAATGGCCGACAGCGCGAGCGTCAGCTGCATCGCCACGGGGGCGTACGAAATCTGGCGGTCTTGTGAGGTCTGCTCCAGCCACTCGATCGAGTCATACCGCTCGGGCAGCTTGATGCTCGGATCGGCCAGCGCGGCGGCCTTCTCAGCGCGTCGCCGCTCGATGAGCGGGCGGATGATCGCCTCGGCCTGCCGGAGCTGGTTGCGGACCTTGCGCGCCTGCGGGAAGAGCATGGCCAGGACGGGCCAGAGGAACTGCGGGTACGTGCGGATTTGATGCGCGGCGAGGAAGGAGTCCACCGTGTATTCCTTGGTGAGGCGAAGCCAGGTTTTGTCGTGGCGGACCTCCTCGTCGCCCAAGAAGATGGTGGACGACATCCGAGCGATGATCTCGAGGAGGATCTCTTTAAGGACTACTTCGTGCCATTCTGTGTCCTTGTTAGGGTGGGACGTTGGCAAGTCTGGTAGAGAGGAGTGAGTGAGCTCACCGTCATCATCGGGGAAGAGATCTCTGCACGCTTGGGTCGCTGTCTCGTTGACAGGGTCCGTCAGCTGTTCTAGCCCAGGGTTAGTATGGCATCAGATTCTACCCATCGAGAGCGAGAACATACTCAGCGACCCCATCAGCTTTGTCTTAGTCATATCAGCCAGCAGACTGTGCCCAGTGGATTCAAAAAACGGTTCAAATCCATGCACTTCCGCACATGTGGACTAGAGACTCCAGTCAGTCGGACAGCATCTTGCAATCGGGGAAGCACAATGGCAAACCTCCTTCATGAACTCCCCGTGGCTGAGTGCATCGATATTCCGCACTTCGTCCGCCATGGACGGCGGCAGGACCAGCATCTCCCCGAGGTCGGAGATGACCCTGAACGGCTTCGTGTTGCCAACCTAGCCCCCTCATCAGCCACCATTCTACCCTAACTCTGACGTGGGCAGCATACCTGCTGAAACCCCCGGGCAACAATCTTCCGCGCATTGGCCGCGAAGCTCTCTTTAGCTTTTTTGTGGCCGATATCCCAGAACGAGGGCTTCCCGGTTGACACGAGGGGCACATGAGCCAGGGGACTTTCCAGTCGTCCATACCATAGTAGCGAGATGGCGATGAAAGTGGGGATCCACAGCGCGGATAAGGTTACGGTGTAGGACCACGAGCTTGCGATGGGTAAAATGCCCGGTGCAGGGGCGGACTGATTCCGACCGAGGTCGAACTCCATACTGCAACAAGCTTCTGTGTCTGTATTGAGGTTGAAAGGACGGATGAACAGGTGTGGGGGTCAGATCGCTAACGTGACTGAGTAGTCTTCTATTTGTCTTTGCTGCCAGGGTGTTGCTTTCATAGCCGTCAGTGCTACATTATCAGACTACCACTTGGCGATCGGTATTTTGTTCGCGCGATATGTCCGATCGATTTCGCCACGGAGTCTGGAGGACCACGACAAAGATGTAATCAAGGTTTGTCGATCAGGATCTCCGTGTTGGAAATGGCGTTGCGAGGAAGTCGGTGGAGGTGAGTTAGGGCTAAGCGGGGACTACATCGGTGGATATTCCCGATCATCCCCAAAATTACCGACCAACAAATCGGAGACACCGACAGCACCCAATGTCTCTACTGCTTATCTTTGCTGAGAAGAATATAGGTACAGCCATAAATCACCGAAAGCGCCAAGGGATTCGAAAGACACGAACTGGCCACCACACCCTGCGCACTCCTACCTGTCCTGCGAACTTTCCACAACCCTGCTTCAACCGCAAACGCAGCATCATGTTCGGACTATTCAGCAGCAGCCGCAAGCCAGTCCAGCCCGCTCGCGTTCCCACGGACACGGTCATCCCTCTGAATGCCGCGGACGACACGGAAGTGCTACGCAGTGTGTGCGTGGTGCTGTCCTACCGGTTCGACGACGTGCTGGACCCGGAGAAGCTTCGGTCGTCTTTCGAGAGACTGCTCGACCGACCTGGTTGGCGTAAGATTGGAGCAAGACTGCGCTTGAATGTGCGTTCACTACACTCACAAGCTCAGATAGGAGCCGTAGCTGACACTCCCCAGAAAAACGGGCGCCTCGAATATCACATCCCGGAATACTACGACGCGAAGCGCCCCATCGTGACTTACTCACACGCCTCCTACGAAACCTCCATCCTCGAGCACCCCTTGGGCTCGCGGCTCCCCCGGCCGAGCGTCAAGCCTGCCGTCGTGGCCGATCCCACTGAATTCGACTCCCTGACCACCAGCGCGGACGCCCCCAAGACCTTGCACGACTACCTGACACGCGACGTGCCGCAGCTGAGCCTGCACATTGCCTCGTTTCGCGACTCCACCCTCGTCTCTATCTCGCTACCGCACACTCTCACCGACGGGACCGGCGGAGCACAGATCTACCGCTCGTGGGCGCTCGTCCTGCAGGGCCGCGAGGACGAGATCCCCGCATTCCATGGCTACGCCCACGACCCGCTGGCGAGCTTCGGCACCGACCCGCAGTCCGCATCCAGATACATGTACGCGGAGAAGCAGCTCACGGGGTGGTGCAAGTACCTCTTCATCGCGCACCAGCTGTACGACGCCTGGCGGTACCGCACGGGGTCGCGCATCGTCTGCATCCCCGGCGCGTACCTGGCCACCCTGCGCCAGCGCGCCATCACCGAGATCCGCACCTCGACCGGCGACGACACGGCCTTCGTCAGCGACAACGACGTAATTACTGCATGGTTCACGCGCCTAACGCTGTCGGCCTTCTACCCGCGCACCTCCACGCGCACCATGCGCATCATGAACGCCTTCACCCTCTCAACTGTGCTGGGCGGCTCGCACCTCCCAACCTCGAAAGCCTTCATTTCTAACGCGGCCACAGAGATCTACACTTTTTTGCAAATTAAAGACTTCTTCACCCGCCCACTCAGCTACGCCGCGCACGCCATCCGCCGGTCCATGACCACCGGCGGCACACGGGAACAAGTCGAAGCCCTACAATGCATCAAGCGGCAGACCTTCGCCACGGAGGGCCACAGCTGGCCGATCTTTGGGGACGCCTCCATGGAGATGATGAGCTACTCCAACTGGACCAAGGGCAAATACTTCGAGACGGATTTCTCGGCGGCGATCGTGCGCGAGGGTCTGCCGGCGGCGCAACGCGCGGAGAAGCCCGGGTTCGCCTCGATGGTGCAGTTCAACGCGTGGTCGACCAAGTTCGATCTCCGGAATCTCATGCCCATCATGGGGAAGGATGCCGCCGGGAATTATTGGTTGCAAGGCCCGTTGCGCGAGGTCGTGTGGCGGAGGATTGAGCGGGAGTTGGCAGAGATGTGTTGACTCGGGATCCAATTACTTAGTAGTTGCTCTCCGATACATCCGAAGTCTACGACAGTTGCAGTTGGGCAATACACTGCGTACAGAGTAGGCCTTCCATTGCAAGGTTTTCCTAGGGCAAGCACGCTTAGCTGTATGGGGCGAACGCAACCGGAATTGATAAGGACCTGTGGGAGACTACAATCGGGAGGTAAGAATCTGGCTACGGTAGAATAAAAGACCTTAACACCAAATCAGGGAGGAATGCAGCTAGTCGAGTCTTAGAGGTGGTTGTGATACATCCATAGGAGAAGAAGGTGATGATGAGGCCAACTCAGCGAGCGCAAACCATGTCACGTGACAACTGCCCTATTTCGGCCTTATGCCAACTTCTAGCCAGCACGAGCGCAGACACAATTTGCATTTCGTATAGTAGCCATGTGATGTGGGAATCTGCCAAATAGCCTCTTCATTCGCCCGCTGTTTGGGGCCGTAAATAGTCTTTCCTCCGCCACGCTGTAGCTCCACTCGCTTTCAGCATGACGCCAGACCCTCTCCTTATATTGCTAGGACTACAATTCCACCCCAACTACCAAGACACGTTTTCTCCGCTGTAATTTACAAACAAGCCAGAAGTGGTCGACTTTGTTGCTGTATCGATCTGTACGAAAGTCAGCCGTGCTGAATTGGGAAAAATCATGAGTTTTCTCTGTCGTTACCTGTGTCATTATTCCGCGAACACTATCCTCCAGCGTCACTGGAGCTTCGTCCAATCCATAATACTGGGCCGCGCGATTGCCCAGGTCTGTTTGTACAAGGCTTACCTCCCCCACCTGGTCAGCAGGCTGCAATGGTAACAAGGTGAGGGATGTCTTACCTCGAGTAGCACCAGTAATGAGTACAACCTTGGTCATGTTGGGTTATGCCCGGATGAAAGTTCAGTTCCTGTTGACAAAACTTGGAGTTTGACGCAAAGGGCTGTGCTCACTTCAACTGCCCAGTCCTCGACGGTGGATTATTTATTTTTCGCTGGGTGGAGTACCTCACTTTTGGTTCGGGCCTGAGTATGAATTGCTACAGGACTTTTCTCCATCGCCTCCGATTACTAAGCGGCGATCCTTGTGGATCGGTGATGCTCAATTGCCCCAGTGCTCGATCACGATCCCATGGCTAATTGCTCCTGGGCTGAGGCAATAGGGGAAGTTAGAAACCAGAGCATGGGAGGTTAGTGCTTCAGGATCTAGGCCATGCAATGGCCCACGCCAGACTTGACCAGTTGCAGTACTGAAGTGCCCTCCCTCCAGCAAGATTGAGGCCCGATGAAGGTACAGTTTCCTTCTCCAACCAGAGTCGAGAAGTCTACATAATTTACCTGCGTGTGCTGCGATCATGACTAAAAGAAGCTCCACTATAGACTACCGTAACACTTACACAGCAAAGATGTAGCAAATAGCTCGAAGGAGAGTTTGGCATTAGTTCAGTCTTATATTCGCCCGGCTACAGCTGGTCCTATCTCCAACTTAGATGAAGTATACCCCCGCAAGGCCGCGATGATGTCGAGCCACAGAGATATAACTGATAACAGCGCTCACCAGGATGGTGCATGACCGAACCCGGCGAGGCAGAAAAGACCAGGCACGGCTCCTGTAGCCGTCTCCCCGTGTCCTCTCTCAGGACTTCTTCATGTAGGCAAGAAGATCATGCTCTGCCAGAAATTCAGCCCAGGTCTGAAGTTTTAATCCAGGAATCTGGATGCGTGAGTGTTGGCGGCTGAGTTCTAATCGGCGGGCATCCACCAAACCAGGTCGGCCCACGTACCTCTTTAGCTTGCACAAACTCGGGTGTGTCGTAGACGTTGCCGAACCTCTCGAACATGAGGAGCTGCTCGGTGAAATCCAGTGCAATCTCGGGAGACATGCCGTCCCGAGTCTCCAGAAGTCGCTGGTAATCGTCCGGGTTCAAGGTCCGATATTTGGTTTGGAGGTTATACTCTGTGTTGTGAAATGTGAGCCGTCGACGATTATTGGTTGAGGTAGCAGGAAGAGGAGAGAGGGACACAAGAACGGGTCGTCCATACTTCTACCGATGGAAGCCAACTTGTCTGCCTCCGAGAGAGCTTGCCCATAGAACGCAATGGTGTGGGTGAAGTAAGTGGAGCCAGACTCAAGGACCAGCCGGACCAGCTTTCCGGTATCCCGAATCGACACGTTCGGCATGACCGTGAGCGAGCCATGCGGAAAGCTCATGTTGTACACTCCTTGCGCATCCTGGTGGAAACGGTAAGCAATGTTTCGCCGGCTGAAATGCCACGAAACCACCGACTCACCGGCTTAGACAGATACCGCTCGGGGTGCGTCAGGCAGTTTTCGAAATAGTTGGGGAAGAGCACGGTAGTGGTCGCAGCCCACAGGTTTGGATACTGTTGCTGGATATAGTCCGTGACGAGACTCTTAGCCTTCCAGTGGTGGATATGCATCAGCGCTCCGCCAGAGAGTTTCTCGGGGTCAGGCAGCGCGCTCCACACCAAGTGCTGCAGGGTCGACGTGCGGGCCGCTGCATCCACAATGGCACGACCTTGCGCAATCTCGACCTCGGGGGACTGTGTTGCCCAAAAGTCCGTCAACGCAAAGATCGCATCGGCGCCGGCAAAAACCGCCGCGAGCGCCTCAACCCCGTCACCCAGATCGGCGGCTTGAATCTCTGCTCCGAGGGTGGCGAGCTCCTGGGCTGCTGGCTTGCTGGGGTCGCGGGTCACAGCCCTGACTTGATAGAGCTGCGGGTTCTTGAGGAGCTCCCTCGCGACGGACCCACCCTATTGTCGAAAATTCAATTGAGCCATTGTCAGTTGCCAAGCAGGATGTGTGATGTATAGCAAACACTAAGGCGGGTTGTGACAGTAACGAACCTGCCAGCCGGTGGCACCAAGAACAACCACGAGGCGCGGAGACATAATGATTGATCGACCACTGTTCCCAAGGTTTAAAGAGTGGGCAAGCGTTAAAGGAGATGTGCAATGTGTGGCAAGAAGATTATCTGCGATTGCCACCGCTACTTATACTTCACCTCCACTGACACAAACTCATGAAGAGACCGCTTACTCATCGGGGGCTGGAGATGGAGATACTCAAACAGCCATACACACCGACTTTCTCCACAAGCACCTGAGTAGGATATCGCGCTAGTACTGAGCCCTGAGTACCTCTTTGGAATGACCTCACTACTCGACCCTGGTTGATGGTCAAAGATCATCCGATGATGCCGAGTTGCCGCAGTTCTGCCCTGTTCTTCGACGGGGGTTCTACTGAACATGGACGCTGACAATAGCCCATGATATCTCTATCTTGATGGTTCAATCACTGGCCCTCGCAGCATATTCGAACAATTCAGCTAGATAACACTTGATCGGAGTCGGAGACATGCAATCAATATTTCATGTCCGGAGACCGATCTGTTTGGAGTTTGATCGACGACAGAACATCAAGTGATTCTTGCAGCAGTGGTACAGATGGCAGCAATGTGAGACAGCAATAGACCAGAAGTCAGTAAATCTAAGCCAGACTTCCATTGGCACAATTGTGGACTTCCTGGTGAATTGGAAGCTGGTTCATTGAGCTGCCATACAAAGGGGGAAGACAATATTCAAATTTGTGTCTTGAGTTTTTTTGGAAACCCATATGATATAATGTACTAAAAGAGATACCACAACCGAGCGTTAGTGGTGTAGCGGTTAGCATTGTTGCCTTCCAAGCAATAGATCGGGGTTCGACTCCCCGCTGACGCATTCTTCTTTTGTTTTTGTTTTGTTCTGGTGTTCCCGGCGGATCGATCAACTTCGGCAACTGGCGAGACATTTCCAACCGGTGAAATAATTTGATGTTCAAACCTGCAGATGCGGAATATAAGTTGGGATAGACCAATTGACTAACTATTCTTTCTATCCGAGAACTCCCTTGTCTGCATGGCTGTAGACTGACATGCAAGGACTTGCTTTTCTGCCCAAATTTAAGGCATCCTCTCGGAATTGGGAATGGACTCTAATGTACCACCAACCAGAACCCTACACAACCGCCCCTCGGCATCAACCTCCCATGCTGCACTCCCCACTGCCGTCTTCGCATAAAAGACATGGCCCGGATCGTATTTCGCCTTCACTTCAAGCAACCTTGGGTAATTCCGCCCATACAGCTCGGCCTCCCAGTCACCCTTCCACTGCGCATCAATCTCATTCAGATACGTCCCCGCGCCGGGCGTCGCCCTCTCCAGCCCGGGGATCAGCGTGTCGACCAGCTGCGCCTTCCGCGCCTGCATTTGTGTCGGGGATACATTCCAGTCCCAGTAGCTTACGATGTTGCACGTGGCGATGGCGTCGCGCCACGCGGGAAGGACCGCGTTGTCTGGGTGGGGGATGTTCTTCACGTTCAGGGCGTGGCATCCCAGCGAGAGGCCTGGATCCGTCTCGACGACAGCGCGCAGGGCGGCAATGATGGCTTGGTTCTGCATGATTTCCTGCACCCCGGCGCGGGGAATGAGGCGCGATGTCAGCTGCACCGTGGCGGGGCCGGCGCCGGCGATGCCCGGGCCAAAGCGGCTGGCGAAGTAGTCGTGGTAGTTTGGGGAGGTGGTGGGCGTGAACGAGTAGGGAATGTCCCGCTGGGTGAGGCGGGTGAGGAACGGCTGTAGCAAATTCTGCACTTGTGTGCCGTTTCTGTCTGGCACGGTGATCGCGTACGCTTCGAAGCCGGTGGCTGTCAGCGCGAAGTCCCACGTGTTGGGGCCAGCGTCGACGAATTGCGGCAGGAACTGCCACAGATCGGAGATCGCGGACCAGTAGGGCTCTGGGTTGGCGGCAGAGATGTTGAAGAATAGCAGGCCGCTGCCGATGGGTCCGTCGGCGAAGATCTTGGTGGTCATGCTGAGTACCACGGCGAAGGTGCCAGGGCCCCCACCGCTGAGCGCCCAGTATAGGTCAGTATGATTATACGGGGTTGCGACGAGGTGCTCCCCCTGCGCGGTGATGACCTCCCATTCCAGCACCGCGTCGGCGCCCATCCCGTAGGCGCCGTTGAGCAGCGAGTGTCCTCCCCCGGAGGTGTAGCCCCCGGCCAGGCCGACGGTAGGGCATGTCCCTCCCAGGATGCGGTAGCCCGCGGCCCCGAGGATGGAGTAGACTTGCCCGCTGATCACCCCGGCGCCTAGTCGGGCGGCTGGCCCGGTGTAGTTGGCACTCGAGTACGAGGGGAGGATGTCTGTCGTGTTGAGGTTGTGCGTCCACAGGGAGAGCGCGCCTGTTCCAGTGGATTTACCCATGAAGCTGGTTGGGTCAGATAGGCTTCACAGTAAGGAAAATCAGGGCCGTACTCATGACCGGTATTCTTGATCACCAGCCGGATGTTATTCTCCCGTGCAAAAGCAA